TAGATTTGTTAAACTTGACCTATAAGCAAATTTTTTATATTTTCTATATTTTTTCTGCTAGATCTTGGTGTCTAATGTAATATTATAGTTCTCAAAATAGAATGTATGTTGAAGATTGTTTTGAAAAAAAAGAAATTAGTCTTGATTATCATGTAAATTATTCTAAAGTGATCAAAAACGTTCCTGGCCCTAATATCATCTATTCCGATTGTGTCAGTTTTGACACTAGTAATGGAATTATTTTCATACTTACTTAGGTTTATGTTTTTCATAAAATCTAATTAGAGATGCATATTGGAAATCATTAAATTTCGTATTTGAGTTTAAGTTTATCATAAAGATTATAGATGGTGATGGGTAACTTGTTCTCAACTTAATTTATATATTATGTATTTCTTAGATTTGGGATTTTTCTCTAAAGAAATGCATCATTTTGAATGGTTACATATGAAGTAGATGAACAAACTAACAAAAAATAAAAAAACTAAAACTAAATTGTAATTCAAAATACAAAACGCTGTGAATTACAATATAAATACTATAAAATTATTTTTCACTTCTCAATAAAAACAAAATGCTTTGTTTATGAAGATAATACGGTTTTTTCACAGGACACATTAATTATTATCAGAATGATTCAAAAAAATGACGCAAACTCCATTAAAATAAAAATAAAAATTGATGTTCGAAGCTTTTTAGTCTTTTTTTTTTTAACACAATTAATGACTTGATTACCCTTATATCACTTCCCACAACAAATTTTAGTAACTCTTTGATCAGAATTCCAGTTATTCAAAATTGCAATGATAAAATACAAATGCGTTTGGATAATTAGTTATTAAATTCATGTCATACATCTTTTGATTTCTTTATGCTAGAAAAGAGAGAGAGAGAGAGAGAGAAGATTAAATCATCAAAGGCAGCTAGATGTAGGTTCGTCGCGGCCCTTGGCTGGACCAGATCAATGTGAATAAATCAATTTAATTATATGTTGATAATATTAAATTAATCATTAGAGTCCTCCCAATATTTTTCTCAGAAGACTTTCTTCTTTCTTTCTTTTTTTGAACGTTCTAAAGAGCCTGTCGACAAGACGTCTGTGATAAAACGAATAAAATGCTATAGATTTCCAAAAACTTTATGCTGAAGCAATTTAATGACTTTGATCAATGTCGTGAGGTGGACTGAAGATGACATTACGAAATAATTATTCACGGATTACTGCTGGCGGTGCTAATTGAGAGAGATTATGGAGATTTGTTTACTGATTAATGAACAAATGAAGTAGGGTTGGCCATATTCGGTTTCGGTTTCATCCAAGGATCTAGTGCTTGTTTACAACAGTGATGTCTATGGAGTTTTCTGAAATTTTAAATTATTTTTTTTCGAAGTCTTTGGATATTTTGTTATAGTTATATTAAAAAAATTATATTTTTAAATAAGAAATACTTTAAAAAAATTATCCTTAACCTAAACATCTATATAATATGAGAGACAAGTTGAGTTAATTGAAACCATTTCTTTTTTCGTTCTTCATTGAATCTGACGGTGATAATAAATTTAATGCTCTTCGTCGTTCGAACACTTATTTTTCTCATCTTTTTTTATTACGAGATATATTTACTGTACATATATCAATGTCATGGATTCTCATCTACACGTGTCATCTGTGTATTTTTTTTATTTATTTTTTTCAGAAAACATATTGCAATTTGTCCCAGATCGACTCTAATGGGAGGTTTGATGGAAGAACACAGCATACATTATGGGATGCATGTTGTTTGAGGTATGATTTTAAAAATAAAAAAACTGTTTAAAATTAATTTATTTATATTTTTAGATAATTTTGATATATTAATATAAAAATAATTTAAAAAAAGGATTATTTTGATATAGTTATAAATAAAAATATTTTAAAAAATAATCATTATTACATTCATAAATACCACTTAAAACATTTTAAAAAATTATAAACAATACAAGTAAAATCAATAATCTACATGACTAACCAAACCAGTCAATGGAACAACCTAGCTCTATGAAGATGATTCACAAGCAACATATGTATTTATATATATAATCCAACAATTCATTATATACTCACAATAATATGCATTTAGACGAATTTTCTTCTCTTTATTTTTCTAACCAATAAGAAATTAATGGCTTTGCAAGAGACCAAAGGGCAGTAGAGACGGCAAGAAGGGAGTGGCTACACGTCGGCGGAAGCATTAGCTGCTTCTACCCTTCCGCCAACTACTTAAAAGAGTGGGGTGACGAAAAAAAAAATCTAATTTTGTTTCTTTCTACCACCCATCATCTTCCTTTTTTTTCCTGTTCATTTGTAAAACTTCGCCGCCTCTGTATCAGGGCGAAACTTAGGGTTTCATTAACATTATTAACCTTTGATTGATATTTAAAAAAATTAATTTAATTTGAAAATTTAAATTAATCAAATAAAATTTAAAATAAAAATTAATTTAATTTTAAATTTTAAATTAATTAAATAAGATTTAAGATATAATTTATGTTATTATTATTTAACATATATTCAAATAACTTGTATAGCTTTAAATTTATCTTCTGTTTAATTTTTTATTTGGATTTATGACTATTTAATTATATTAAATAATTAATATACAAATAATGCAAAACCTAATATCATGAAATTACTTACCTAACTATTAATTAACACAAAACCAGGTATACACAATTATTTACTTAACCCAGCACCAAACTGCATTTGGTTTCTACAGAAAGGGAAAAGCATAAGAGCAGAAAATGGTTATGGCATTAGGTAAAGATGACTTTACAGTTTAAAAACCTATCGCCAAAACTGAAATCTTGGGACATAATGATAGGTGAAGATGACTTTCTTTTATGTAATTCTTCTTTTCTTGTTTAGTACTCCATGATTCACACAGTATAATCCTTTACAAGGACTTTATAGAGTGCATCTTTCATTCCCTAATGTTCGCTTTTCCAATTCGTCGTCTTCCACTAGCCAGCCAGCCAGCCAGCCTCCCCTCCCTCTAGCAGCCCTTCTCTCTTCCAAGTTCCAATTCGTCGTCTTCCACTAGCCAGCCAGCCAGCCAGCCTCCCCTCCCTCTAGCAGCCCTTCTCTCCTCCAAGCCATATGGCAACAAAAAGTGGAAACAACATAATAGATAATGTTTATATCCAATATGGCAACAAAAAGTGGAAACAACAACATAATAGATAATGTTTATAGTTTTGTTCGTATCCCTAACAACTCATGCTCCACATTCAATACTCAACGCAGAAACAAAATGTAGACTTTTAGTAGAAGTGCTCCATCTTACGGCGTTGACTGCTCATGAATGAGATCTGGGAAGGTGATAATAATCTCAAAATACGTGAAAAATGTTCATATAAATTTTTCTTGTTATCCTTTTATATTCAAACATTATATTTAGTATCGAAAAAGATTGTTAATTATTCTGAATGTACTAAGTTGATGTGAAGTAAAATCATTCGAGAATAAGATTTAATGTCGATTAATACAAAAACTAGTTTATATATTTACTAAATTTGCTGATGAACTGATGAACTGTTGCTTGCGGGTGGATTTTTCATCATTATCATGCTCATTGATTTTTGACAGCTGTGTTCATGAACTAGGACGATGACTTTTAAGCAAATGGGCATGTAGGTCGATCGGAGACGAAATGGAGACTAGATGATATATTGCCATGCCCCCATGTGCTAGCTTACCCTATATAATTCTACTGCTATTTTAGACTTCATCTTGTTTAGGAATTTTAATGGAAATAATTGAAAATGGTAAATTTCCCACAAAATTAATAAAATCATTCAATTTTGTTGTTTGAATTAGAACAATACCATGAAATTGAATATTGTTAATGAAGGGACAACTTTGCTACTCTTGTAACCGGCTAGCTAGGTGGTTTTCAGAATAGTGGGAACGTGTTGATGTCAAGAGAAAGAAACTTGCATTACTATTAATTCTTGCACGAAATGAAAATGCTCTGAGAAATCAAGATAATCAACCACGTTCTCTTTTACACCTTTGTTTTTTATTCTTTAAATAGTGTGTAACTCAAAATGCCTGGAAAAGCTGCATGCAGTGGCATTTATAGAGATCCACATGCAATCAATCTCATAATTGAGAAATCACATGCATAATTGATCAAAATATACCATGTCTAAGTCAAAAAAAATATCAAAAAAAAATCAAATATTTGTCTAGTGAAGGGAAGGTGCTTATAATGTGCCTAGCCATAGACGTGTAATGTTGAAGAACTAGGAGAGATTTGCTGGCTCGCAAACCCGTTACAGGCAGTAATGTGCACGTCTCCGACTAGCTCTTCTCATTCGTAATTAATATAATATTAGCGCGAACAAAACTAAAACAAAGAAAGATGAAATTTGGTTATTAGATAAGCATTTCCAGCTAGGAATCAGATCATGATTTCTTGAGTGTACGGGCAGGAAGCATAGAGGAGCTTCCAGCTGCCTGCCTATTTTACAACTATTAGATGGAAGGATAGCAATTCTATAGATTTCGAGGAAGAACTGTATATGATGAATCTTGGTAAAGCAATTGCCATTCAGAACCTTTTTTTTTTTTTTTTGGAGTGTTTCTATTGGATTATAGAAATGATCGAAGCTCATGTATCATAAAATGATGCAAGGCCAGCAGCAATAAACAACTGAACAGTGCAGAGGAGTGGAATTATTAAATAATGACTCTGAAGCAATAATGAGATTAACTTATTTTGTACCATGTTATAGATTAAATTAAATGAGTAGTTGGAAATTAGTTCTGAACAAATAGAGAAATCCAAGAGATCAAAGCGGTGTTTGGTTTTATTTTAAAAATAAAAAATAAAAAGTAATAAAAGACCAGCTAGAAAAACCCCATTTGCCAGATTAATTTAGAGACCGATTGTATTGGTCCGTGATGATTCCTCTCCTTCAACGACTGCACTCGCTATAAATACTTTGTATTCCATGCATGCTTTCTCATCTACACAGACAAAATCACTAAATTTTCCCTTGCCTTCTCTTAATCCAATAATAAAGAGAAAAGGCGTAAAAGTCCAACACATTGCCGATAGGTGGTGGAATTTCAGGGGAAGGAATGACAGGTTCTAGCGGCGGCCCCCTTTGGGGTCGTCTTTGGCCTCAATTGGCCGTGGCATTGGTTATTCTCTTTGTTTCAAGCAATGCAGGTTCAGTCTCAGGAGATGCTTATGTTTATAGTTCACCACCTCCACCTTATGTATACAAGTCTCCACCACCTCCATCACCATCTCCTCCACCTCCTTATAAATACAAGTCACCACCTCCTCCACCACCAACATACATGTACAAATCCCCACCAACCCCATCTCCATCTCCTCCTCCACCATATATCTACAAGTCACCTCCTCCACCTTCTCCTTCCCCACCACCACCATATGAGTACAAGTCACCACCACCACCATTTTCATCTCCCCCACCACCTTATGTCTACAAGTCACCGCCTCCACCTTCAACATCACCACCCCCACCTTATATCTACAAATCTCCTCCACCCCCTTCACCATCCCCACCACCCCCCGACCATTATAAGTCTCCACCACCTCCTTCGTCATCTCCCCCACCACCTTATGTCTACAAGTCTCCCCCACCCCCATCACCACCCCCC